GCGGCTGCCGCCGCGAGAACGTGTTGGGGTGGTTGCGGCGGAGGCGGTGGATACTGGGGATGTGCAGGTCCCATACTTCCGAGGTGTGGACTGTGATGGAGACCTGGTACACCTCGGGCGCTCCCGTGCGGATCGTACAGCCCTGCGCCACCTCCGCCACCTCCGCCCTCGAGGTAACTCCCGTGCAGCCCGCCGTCGTCATACTGAAACCACCAGAAAGCGAGAAAAAAAAATTAGTACGAATTATCGATCGTATGTATTCGCCTATACACACGTATATATGTGTGAATATCCGTATATGTATATATGTAAACGCGTAACGCAGTGCTCGTAATTAGCGCGAGACCCACACCTTGACTGCCGGCAGATGTTCGAGGCGACCGAAAAAATTACATCGGCCAAACAGTATCGACCAGAAGGAAATTTACCATCGTTCTTAACTCGAGTGAATCGTTTTACGCGTTACGAGGTTAAAACAGGCGACGCTCGGTTTCATTCAGCTCGAAAAAGTTGTTAATCGAACGTAATTACGAGACTAGTTGGTATCACGTGCTCGCGCAGTTTAAAGCAGCCTTCGCACGATGATACATATTGTTCTTATTGACTTCTCTAGTTTTACGAGGTTTCCTGAAACTATATCGGAATTAGATGTCGTTCGTTAGCTAGATATAGCAGTACTTCGATAACTGACCGTTTCTATCCCAATCGATTCTTAGAATTGATTTCGTGCAACGAGACTCGTATATATTTTATTTCCATTTAATAGAAAACAGAGACACAGCGCAATTAACTATTCGTGTCCAATTCAATGAATTTCTGCCGATTGAATTCATGTATCCGAACGTGAACTTCTGTTAGTTAATCATAAATGTACCCAGGCTACGTTATATATTCGCGATCGGTAGATTTTATGTGACGCTATAATATACAAATAGGAAAGAAAGAATAAGCCAAAATTTATTTTTGATAAATATTCCTTATTATCATCCGTTAGATGACTGTGACCACAGATTGGAAAATTATACATTGGAGAATTATATTTCAAGCAAATATGAAACATCAAGCACGCATGGATATTTTAGCGTATCGACTGTATGTGAACGACAAATTCTAAACAATAGAAAGGACCACAATAGAATTTCTATTATATAAACTACTTATTTTGATGATAACTGAAAATAAGTAGAAGTTTACTATACTCGAGATTTTCGTGTCACCTGCGATAACTGACCCGATAAAGTCTCCCCTGATAGTCAATTAAAGATGTACGACATACTCATTCCTCTATCGATGTAAGTAATTTTTACTACCGATACATCGATACCATTACACCCAAACATAATCATCCAACTATCGCAGGATCGATAGAAATCGATGATGGTACTGCAGTACGTATCATCGTGTGCAGATCGCTTAATATACTCATGGACTGTTTCTGTTTCGTCGGAAGCGCGTACGCGAGCTTTGAAATACCACTTCGCGGAAGCGGCTACTCCTCCATTATCAGCCATCATTATTATCCCGCCTTAGCGGTTCGCGATAATCGCGATAAGTTCGCGTAGATTAAGATATCGAGATGAACGTAAGTGAACCTTCTAACGAAAAACGAGCAACATTGTTTGTTAATACGCTTTTAATTAGCAAGGGCACGAATGAACAGCAACAGCGAGGCACCTTTATCTCTGGCTTATCTAAGCAACGCTCGACTTTGATACAGTTTTATGAAACTTACGATTCGACGAGTGTCAGTGACAAATAATTGAAGGATAAAGTCGAATGTCACAGGTTAAGGCGGTCGTAAACTTTAACGAACCGGATCCATCGATTTCGCGCTATTAATGCATTAAATATAGAAGACTCGACCGTCCTTGTTCCGAGTGCCATAGCCATGGAATGCTGGTTGTTCCGCGCAAAAATAGGCGGAATTTATTTCCGCTCTCCGCGAGACAACCGTCGTCAAACGGGGAGGTGTACGCGCAATCGAAAATACACCGGGTTACAGAAATACCGAGGGGGACACTTGGGAATTTATTGCGAAACCTCTTCTGCGTTTCTGTCTGCGTCTTTTTTTACTCTTCTTTTTATTCTCCTTACATCTATCTATTTTATCACCTTTTTTTTTCTTTCTCTTTTAGCTTATCATTGGACTGGACGTAAGTAGAATATACGTAAGTAGAATGAGTAATCAATATTGATGGACCAAGAAGAGAGGTGATAGAGTAGGGGATAGTACAAGATGGCTAGAAAGCGAAAGCAACGCACGATCAAGCAATTCGAGGTGCAAGTGGAATGAGTGGAGCGAACCTTTAGACGATAGCGACGCGCGTGAAATATGAATTTCGTAAGCGTGCGTGGTACGTGGCGTGTGCGGAATCGTTGAAATTTGATCGAGTGGAAGGCGCTTCGCTGGAATCGTATTTTGAGAGGAATTCGCGGAGAAAATTAAGACATGGCGAGATCGGGACGTTAGCATGAATTAAAGATTCCGTTCGCTAAAATAAATTAACGATCAAATAAATCAAAGGGAATTTAGAAACCTGGCCGCTGAAACATAATGGAGCTTCCAGAAGTCGGAGTCGATTACGGGGAAGATCAGCGTTGAACGTTAAACGGAGAATCGTGCGAGGGAATTACTTAACTTGCCAGTAAATGACGTGCTATTCGAGCGCAAAAAATCGAGGAAGTTTCTGAATATCGGCAAACGAGCTTGTGCGAGAAACGAACGTGAAACGGACGAGACAGCGAAACGTCGGCCAGCAAGTTTCCTCGAGTTTGTATCGAAGATATCTCGATCGTGGAACGATCAGGAACAAGGAAGCCAATGATTTTTCTTGACTCGTCGCGGCATGTACCTTGTCACGATATCGCGGAAACGAAAGCAAGGCGATTATTATTGCTAATTACGTGGCTCGACCGTCAAGTTTGAGAGCTGGTAATTTCGCGACGGAAAGAAAAACGACGAAATAAAGGAAGAAAGGAAAGAAGAAGAAGATGGAAAAGAAGAAAGAAGGAAGGTTAAAGAGAAAATGAAAGAGGGGATGAACGACGGTTGTTCTTCGGCTATCGTGATTTCGAAAGGAATATGGTTTACACGGTATATCGCGAATCTTTGATCGCAAGCGTTAGCAAAAATGACATGGAAACGTTGAAAAAGTTCTATTTCGTGCGCTTTCAATTTAACTAGTACTATCGATCGAATGTGTTACAGACCGGAGTACAAAATATTTCGTGCAGGACGGAACGAGCCATCTGATTTCACCGCATTATCGTAAAAACAACGCCAGTCGTCCGGTTTGCGATCGAGTGGAGCAAACTCGAAACGATATTTCCTTAGTTCCTTGACCGTTTCCTTAAGTGCATTTTTGATATAAGAGAAACAGAGTGATACGTATAATATATTTTGATATTTCCATTCGTAAGAAGAATTCCTACGCATACTACGTCATAGATGCATGATTTATCCATCTTCGAAGTTGGATTTTTTAATCGAAGTTAAAGATATGCATAATTACTACGTCGTTGATCGTAAAATGTTACGAGGACTCTGTTAGCAGCACCAAGAATCCCGTTTCATAAAAGAAACTACATAAAATATGAGGAAAACGAATCTGAATCGATCTATACGTAGCTTTCCATTCTCGCCGAAATTCATGAAACACGGCAAGCTGCAAAGGAAAATGAATTCGATCGTCAGAAAAGGATAAAGAAAAAACGACTAACGTCTAATAATTCAGCATGGAGAGCAAAGCTATGAAGATATCACTAGTCGATCGTATAGAATATCTTAAACGGGAGAGAGAGCAACGGAGGACGCGGTAACTTCAAGCCTTGATCGCAATGGAGCAATACCGGGTTCTACGATTTTATTTCCTACGAAGAACTTGAAAGATAGCACAACTTTTTAGCTAAATTACCCGCTGTTATGATCAACGCTTGTTCCTTTATTTTTTCGTAATAAAATTGAAACGATAATTTCTTGGTTGGCGATTGTTAGCGTGAAAGAAAAAAACGCTGCGAGTCGATTCGCGACTCGAGATGCAGAAGTTTATCTGGCGTTAACGTAGAAATGTTTTCACGCGGTAATTCCGCCGATGTAAAACGACGCTGAATGCCTGGAGGCGAATTATTTGGCATGAATTTCCACGGTGCGCAGCTGCAGCCGCGATGAAATATTCATAACGCGATTGAAGAGCTTACTTTTCTGAGCCGCGCTCGATTCGACAAATGCGCATAGCGGGAAATTTTAACGATACTCGATAAGAGAGGTAGAAAAATAAGAAAATAAGACGAGTTATTGCAAATGGGTAAAGGCTGCCCGATGCTCGTTATTAGTGCACTACGTTTGCGTTGCGACAGCGTTGATTGAGGATAGGCATTTGCATATTTCTTTGTTTCCCGGATCAAAACGTCTTTCGAGGGTGACGTAATTTTCTTAGTACATAGATGACTATCGCGTACCTATACTAAACGGTAGAATCTCTATAAACACGTGTTATAGTAAGTAGATATTACTAAAATATCTAAAAATATGATCGAAGAAATACATCAAATCATCATTAGTTCTTGATAGACAGAAGAACACTGGGAACGCAAAACAGCGTACACTAACATATCATACGCATTACATATTAGGAAACTCGATGAAACATTTAGAAGCATGAAGAGATTCTCGAATATGTTAGATTCCCGAGAAATTCTAAAAAATAAGAATCCTTGGATCGGAAACGTAGAGACGATTTCATCGCAAGAATCTATCAAAATAATATCACGTACACCAATGAATAACGTTAATATAGCTTACGTGTCGTTAGAAATTCGACAAAGATAACAAAACGCAAAAATTTTCTCCTTTGTAGGTACTTGAAATTCCTAAGAAATTCGGAAGAAACGATCGCTCTTACATGCAAGAATCATCAGACAGGATTTCACCGTTGGAATTTAGGAAGAAAACGTCGTGTACACCTAAAAACATCATACACCGCTATATCGTACGTGTAATGTTATTAAATTTGGTCGAAATTTATAAATACGAGAAACCGACAAATATTGACATGTAAGAAAATAGATGATACGTTAGAAAGTAGATACTGAAATACATTTGTTTATTTTATAGAATGGGAGCAGATACATAAGCGGATACATAAGGAATTGCGAAAATCGACTGGTTTCGACTCGCAAACACATCGAGTATGGAATTCACATT